TCTCGCGTCGCAACTCGCGTAACGAGAATTTAATGCTCATAATGCCCGACCGACATGTTTTTACGCTTTTAAAACCGATATGCACACGCACGTATAGATTTCAATTTTCGTATGTAATTCTTTCATATACATCAAATTCACGGACCCTGCACAGAGAAGAATATCATTTTACTGTTAGGAAAAGCGATTATTTTTGGTTTAGGGCCTTCGCACACAAATTGCCGTAACCGTAACCATAATACGTAAACTTAAGCTGAAGAACCAATCAGAATATTGCTATAGATTTATGTATTTCAAAAGACTATAAAAGTGACACCAAGTTTTATCTTACGTAGAAATAACTAGATTTCAATCGGTTGAAATTTTAAGATAAAACTTGGTGTCACTTTTATAGTCTTTTGGAATACATAAATCTATAGCAATATTCTGATTGGTTCTTCAGCGTAAGTTTACGTATTATGGTTACGGTTACGGCAATTTGTGTGCGAAGGCCCTTACTCCCTACTAGGTTCGGTTATCTCCAACAAGAAATATTTTCTTGACAATAGTCTGAAAATATACTCATAAGAGATTTGAGAGAAGCTCCTTATTTTGTACATTGAGAGAGAAAAGTATTTGAAAAATAAGAAGTATTTATTCGATACTAATAACATATTTACTGACACACATTTTTTACATTAAAAAAAAATTTCTTTCAAGTGAAGAAGTATATTTGGTCAAAATCGTTGCTTTCCCCCTAAGCAATTGTTTAATTTACTTAAGTGAAGGAATTTAGATTTAAGTGAATATCTTATTAGTATTTACCGAGTAAATATTTCTTATTTTTCAGTCATTTGTTCTCTCAGTGTATTCAAAAGAAGAGTATATTCTATGGGCAAGGATATGATAGAACTTTGCCGGGAAAAAAGTTGGCACGACTTTATGTGGTGAGTAAATGAAATTTTTGTTTCAATTGTCAGAATTCGAAATATTCTAACAATTGAAACAAAAATAAATCTGATGCTTATGATGAACTCATAATAGATTTACAGATATAGAAAGTTACGAACTACTTGAGACAAGTAACATTCGCGGTAACATTCTCTTGAATGCAGTATGTATTCTTCTGCGTGTGAGTGAAGGACGCGCATCGCCTCGAAGTAAGCAGTGTAAGTGAAGATAAAAGATAAGAGGGCAGATAAAAATAAGGATAAAAAGTAAAGGCTTCCTCTCGGGGATATACGTTTCGCTCTAGTCTCTACGATTCTACCGGCCCGGCTTTTATAATATCTCCCCTCTCGTCGTCGTAATCCCAGCCCGTTCCCGTCGCGGAGAGACTCCGATTACCAGCGCGATAGGCGCTTTAATAAAAAAGATTAGCGCCTTCTCCGCGCGTATAACTATAAATCGCGACAAAGGACAATGACGACGGCGACGATGACGACGGCGGCGTTGCGACGAGTTGGATCTCGTCGTTTATCCGCGCGTCCGTTTCTCATCGCGCGTTCTCATTTCCTTGCCGCTGTTTCGTTCAAGTTCCGCGCGACGTGACCGTCAGGACGGCCTTCCCTTCGCCGTTTACGAGCTGCAGCAGCAATAAACGTAAGAGAGTCCAGACACGTGCGCGTTCGTATATACACACATACACACGTGCGACATAACACACGGTCGATGGAGAAACCTCTCTGACGTATCTGGGGCTTAGTCGCGTCGCCGTCAAAACTTCTCAGCCGTCCAGAAGAGCGCGGCCGAGAGCGCGAGTCCGAAGGGGATGGAAATGCTGGACGTCCGTCTCGAACAATGGTAGACCGATGCGCGACATATGACGCTGCTGCAGCTGGTGGCTTTGACAAGGTCGCGGGGGGTAAGTTCGCTCGTAGCGTGGCGTAGCTAAGGCACGATTGAAAGTGGGGTAAACTGCCGCGGAATTCGCCCCCGGCGCGGGTAAGATCGTGGTATCGATAGGAATTAGCGGGCATTGCTCTCAAAGCGCGGGTATTACTTGGGCCAAGTTCCAACAATATTCGTTTAACCATCGGTTAAGCCCCAATAGTGATTGGTTAATTCTGATAAACTCTTCTTAATGTCAAATGCGATTGGTCAAGTCCAATGGAATAATCAGTCAGTTAAGTTAACTGGAGATTGTGAAACTGGGCCTTAATCCTTCTGTTGCGGTACATTAAACCGCAATTCGGTGCTCGCGTCCAATTGCCGACAGAGACGCGAAATCAGGAGGTCACAGTGTACGCGTGTGAGTCTTTTTTCTCGTTATTTTGGTGTTTTAATCGGTATCCCGCGGTCGATAGCGTTGTGAAAATAAACGTCGATTCTCCGTTGAAACGTCATCGCGTCGTTTGACATCATAATATTTACTCAGAGCGCAGAGACCATTTTATATCTAAATATCGCGACACACAGAAGAATATCATTCTACTGCTAAGAAAACCGATTACTCGGTTTACTTTCCTGCTTTTAAATAACAGTGTCATCTTCAAGGAATATTTTTTCATAACATTAATATTATCAAGAATATATTATAGATATCTTTTGACGTTAGCCTTAAAGTATATTTATCAAAAACTTGAGGAAAGCTCATTTTATCGTGTACTTAAAAGCAAAATTTGTTCTCTTTACAAGAACACCATAAAACTTCACCAGAGAAAAGTTGTTCCGACTCTATGTAGTGAACAAACCGAATTTCAATTTTGTTTCAATTTTAATCTTCATCTAAAATGCTAAACTTGTTAAGATTCAGAATGTATTTTGCATATAAATTTAATGCTTATGGTGAACTTATGACAGATCTGCGGTTACACCCAGATAGACAGGTATATATAAATTTGACACAACAACTTTACTGGTCGACTTGTAAAATTGCATTCCCCTTATGAGTGATTCACATGACTTATCTTCAGCATACGGAATGGTGAAATGGAAATACGAGAAGATTTACGAAAATTTGCTCCAGACAATAAGTCATGTAAAATGTAACGTGAAAGCCTTTGTTGCCACATCAATACAACAAATAATTTACACTGTCATATGAATATAAATTTAATATGAATATAAATTTAATTCAGTACAGTATATTTACATCACAAATATAATTGAAAAAGGGCTGTAAAATTTTCATCATCGGCTGTTTCACGTCGCAATCATAAATATCTATCTGGGAAGTAACATTTACTCGTATGCCTATGTGCGATATTTCTCTGTGTGAAGGATACCCCGATATGGAATAGTTAATGTAAGCTATCTTCCTCCCTATCTCAAGCTCCCAAAGGCTTCGATAACGTGCACTTGCCGCATCTCCCCCCGACGTGGCGTTTCGCGAAAATGCCATTAATGATTAATTCGCGACAGAAGCCGGCGTTTGATTCATAAACAAAGAGTTGGGAGCCGCAGCCGCCGAGGCACACGCACACACACGCACGCCAGCTCATCGTGCCGGGGGATGAAGGTGTAAGGGATGACAACCCAACCCCGGCTGGCAGCTACAATGGCAACCAGGGCAAGGACGATTACCACTGGGCTCCCCGCTCGCGTCGCGCGCCCTTGCGCCCCTCCAGCCACCCCTCCACCCACTCATCCACCCATCCCAGCCACCCTCTCTTCACATCAGGCCCTCGCTCGCGCCCTGACCGCGTCACGCCATCCCCCGGCTGCAGCACATCGCCCCGCCGGCCACTTTTCAAACTTAACCGATCTCCCGCATTGCATTTCCCGCTATTGAATTTGGCGGTGCGCGCGGAATATCGATGCTCGATTATCTCGTCGCGCCGCGCGAAACTGCGGCAGCATACGATACTTCCCTCTCGATACGCGCCGCTTTTCCTCGACGAAATCGCCGGAACAGCCACCGATCGCTTCTTGCGCGCGCGGTCACTCGAGCGCGCGGGATTTCGCGAGTGACGTTGATCAATCGTTTTCTGTTTTCTCTCCCTGAAAATCGTATTCGAAGTGTTGTTGCGCCGGTGGCTCGGGGAATTCGATAAATCCCAAACTTCGCTAGGCGTGCGCGGAGTTCGCAGCGGGACCGTTTCGTGGCTCGGGAAGTAACCGTGTCGCCAATCATCGTGTTACGCCGATAATAAAATGTCGCGCGTTATGGAGTATCGGATTTCGACTCGGCGCCGTATACGCCGAAGCTTTTTCGCCAGGTAGCGCGTGCGTTCGGCCGGATGAAATATTCAGGCGTTCGAGGATGAGCGAGGGGGGGAGAGGAACAGATACATGGCCCCGTCGAGGCGAACGAGGGCAGCCAGCTTGAAAGCGCGCCGATGTCGGGTAAACCGAGCTCAGAAAGACGGATAAGTTCTTGAATTATGTACAGTGAGCAAATTTGAATTTGACTCTCAGCAAGACGGGGGAATAGCCCGCGGTTAGAATCGTCGGTTAACTGGGAACAAAGCGTTGATTCATGCCAGACGATCGACCCGAATAATAACACCTTCTTACCGTCTTCCTCTCCACCGATCGATACTCGAAAAGGTGAACGCTGACGTTAACAAGACAATTAACGAGCGCGAGTAACGAAGATCGTTCTTTATACGAAAGCACTCGCGATAGTCGCTTTTCTCTCTCTCTCTCTCTCTCTCTCTCTCTTTCTCTTTTGCGCGCGTGATGTTGCAAATATGATAAAGTTTACTTTACATCGCGTTTCTATTGTCGCAAACGAGCGCGGAAATTATTTTCGCGCGACTGCATTATCGAGATTTGAACACAGCGCTATGGCAATTTGAGCCTTCGATAAATAAGCACACAAGGCAAACAGATGCACCGTTGTTGGCACACGCGACGTGCTAATATTTGAACAAGCTGGTTATCATTTAATTTAATCCTCAGACTGGCCGCTGCTTGCGAGTGAACGAGCACGAATTCCCGAAAATAGCCGTTTTTACGTAGCGCGATCCGGCTTTTTGCTCGTTTTTGGCGCGCTAGTTTTCGCTATCCGCGGCGATGTACGCGCGCTCGCGTGTAAAAAGTGGGGTAAATAATATCAGGTGATAAATTCAACTCACTCTCGTCGGTCTGCGGCGCGGAGAGGATGGCGCTGTGCTTTTTCTTCACATCTTCCACGTTCGTCTGGATCCTATCTATCATTTCGCGGATCTCCTCCACCTGTGGCAAAAAACATATGTCAGAGTCAGCGGTTGATTTTCAACTTTGTAGGATTTATACGTATCTCGCGAGAGAACCGCGGCGCCGCCAGCCGTCGCGGACTTTCGCGCGCTTATCTGGGGAGTGATTTATATTTCGCGGACGAGGTGCAAGCACAATGTTGGACATCTCGCTGTGGTAAGTTGTGTCAACTCACACTTCTCGTTTACTGAGATTCACGCGCCGAGAGTCAAAATATTTCAGAGAAAAAATAATGCAAATTTATTCGACAAATTACTCATACACCAATATTTAAAATATTTGTCAAGTAAGAAAATTTCCCTTGAAACCGTTTCTTAAATTCGCTTTTCAAAGCAATTGTTGATTCTATTTAAAGCTCCTTGTACCTCGCCGGCCATGTCGGATCTGTGACGTCAGAAGCGAGGAATGACACATCAAGAAGTCTTAAACGAAAGAATTTAGACACAAGTACACATTTAATTTATTAGTGCGTATCAAATAAATATTTGTTACTTTTCAGATATTTTCTCTCTCAGGTCCGTTACTAGTCGTTACTTGAAACTTGTCTCAGGTTAAAATACTCAGATTTTTATTCAGAGTCAGATCCAAGTTCTTCAGTTGAGTTATGATAAATGTGACATTTATATCTGTAGTCGCGATTCAACACGCGAAGAACTCTCATCTAACTCTAAATTGAAATCTGAGTATCTCACTTGAGACGAGTTTCAAGTAATGACTATTAATATGGGCCTCAGTGTAGCGTTCCTCAAAATGACTTTCAATACAAGGTTCGCTCTATCTGAAACGCGAGTCCTACGGATGATACCTTTAGATATGATACACGAAGTGTAACAGAAAACTTAAAAAAATAAGTGACGCGACGAGGAAATGTTTGAAGAACATTCCGACGGGCCGCCGGTGCCAACACACGTCCCCTTAACGAGGATCAAGAACGAAACAAACGAAAGAAGAAGCGCTCGATCACAGCATTGCAAATGAAAGTAGCCAATTTAAGTAATCGAGGTCGGCACAGCCGGACGCGCTACTCTGCTTAAGTAGTATATCCGTAATTGCGGTCAGGACGAGTGGTTCGCGGCGCAAGTGGTGCAAACCGCGTTTGGTCAGACGAGCACATACACGAGCCCGCTCGCGAATTTCGCCCGCGAAATTTTCGGCGGGTTAGATACATCGAAGTGAAGATGAAACTCATCAAATTCTCTTTTCCAATATCTCCGACCGATAACATCGCGCAGCACAGCGAAACAAGTTTCGGCGCGAAGGAGGTGAGGCGGAAAAATATCTGAAAATAATTCCGGGGCGCGAACGACTCGCACAGAGTCACTTGGTCTTCCGCGCGTCAGCTTTAAGATGTATTTTTAGCGGATTACCGCCGCGGAAGATTCCCCCGCAAGCTCGCGCGAGCGAGGATCTAATTAGCGGGAGGGAAGAGAATATGGCGGGCAAGTAATATCCGGCTAGCGCGAGAGAGGGAGAGCGAGAGAAGGAGCCGGAGGATCGCTCCAAGGCCTCCGAAGCGACGGTGCACGTAGTACACAGCGTCGTAAAAGCAGGCGAAATCTCATCGATTGGCCCGTTGGAAGGATGCGTAATCTCACGACGACCTTTTCCCTCTTGATGCGATTTCGTCTGACTCATCGGATCTTCTCGTCGTTTCATCGCGACGGACGTACAAAACGACGCCGCGGCCGCTCGCCGGCGGCGGCAGCTAGTCGTCGTAAACGACGACGACGCGACGACGGTCTCGGAATATCGCCGGGGGAAGAAATTCGCCGAGGGTGAGTCCGAGGGGTGATCGCGGAGGAAGCCATCCCGAAGGAAGGACTCGTCCCATGGACGTTTAACTGCCAGTCGCTCGACCTCCGACGTCCAACTTTAATCCCTTAATGGTTGGTCTCCGCGCGCGGAGAAGCGGTAGAGCAGTTTTGAACGATTAATTTGATTCTGAACAGTCGCGGCCTTGATTCCAACGCGACGCTCGAATGTTTCGCTCACAACGACGTGTCTTCTCTCGCGACAACTGTCACAAAGAAGATAATGTCGATAGCACGAGATGTGCTTTGCGATTAAGGGACCACTTCGCGATAGCGGCGATACGAAACACGGTAGAGGGCCGACGCGATATCCCGAGGGAGAGAGCTCGTTTTACTCCGGAAAGTCGCGTCGTCCTCGTCAAAGGATAACGGTAACGGGATAGGTGGTAGTCGCGCAGGAGAGTGAAACCATTCTGCAGAGAGCTTCGTCGCTTGCATCCTCTCATCAGCGCACAAAACGTTGCACGTTATTCCGGACACAGGGATGAGTCTCATCAGTGCCACCCCCGCACTCTCGGTGTGATCTCTCTCTCTCTCTCTCTCTCTCTCTCTCTCTCTCTCTCTCTCTCTCTATATGTTTTAGGAAATGGCTTTAAGTTATTATTTTCTTTGATGCATTATTGATCTGTTCATTGTGAGTCCCTTCCAATTACCCAATTTTTCTTTTTTATGTTCTTTTTATACTTATTTTTCTGTAGTAAGCGCTTTTTGCGCTTGAGGAGGCCATATCCCATATATATATCTCTCTCTCTCTTTCTCCTTTCCTATCCAACCTTTTTAAACACACCGGTGTTTTCATCGCCTTCGGTTATATGCGAGCCACCGTCGCTTGTCTATTTCGGCCGCTTTCCCGTCGCTTCTTCTTTTGCAGCCCATGACTGCATAGTGCATAGACTGCATAGACATTTATATATGAGACGCACGGATAGCTTAATGGCTGCTGCTGCCGACGCTACGAGGACACAATTTGACGTGGCTGAAACGCGCGATATACCGCCCGTCTGCGTATCGATTTCGCGTTAGCCACCCTCGTGGATGAGTGTTTCTTGGCGCGATCGTCGGGGAATGACTTCGCGGAAGGTAACTTTCGCGAATTCATGACCGCTCGCGAGGGTGTATTTCAAGAGGGATAAATATTGCACGGAAAATACTGTTCTGGTTGCCACTACCACACTTTATGTGATTGGAAAAATTTACGTGAATTCGAATAAAAATTGACGTTGCATTAGAGATTGCTGTTTAGATATCCATTTATACAGTTCTTATGATACGTAATTTTCGACTAGTTCTTATCCTCATACGCAGCTGCCGCAATCGAATAAATATTGTTGTCCTTCTGTTGTGTTGAATGAATACTGCGTGGTTGAGAGATCTACAGGGTCGAGTTGTGTCACGCAGCACTTTGAAAGTTACTCTCCAACACGTATGGACGGATACCAAAGTAGGTTAATGTGCACTGAGAGAAGAAATATCCAAGAAATCAAAATACATTTATTACACTAATAACATGTTTACTGATACTAATCAAAATATTTTTCAAAATGTACATTTTTTTCTTAAAACTTTTGCTCTTCTTATGTTCTGTTTATTCTATTTAAATACACTGAAAAAAAAAGTTTGATAATACTTACCAAATGCGTTTTACCATATCATTTGGTAAATAACGTAAATAAAGTAACCAATATGGTAAAAATTGTTAGTAACATTAACTTTCATATAGTAATTCACTTCTTATATTTAGTTGACACTATTTTACTAAATATAGTAACTATAACACAGACTGGATAATTATTACCAGAAATTTTTCTCAATGTAAAAGAATTTAGATCTAAATAATTATGTCATTAGCATCCACTGAATATTGTTTGTTTTTTCGATATCCCTCCTTCCAGTTTGCCACTTCCAGAGTAATATGGCTTCCACGACGCTTTTATATGTACGGCTAAGAAATAACAATAATATTTTGTTACGGCAGCCATATTTATCCAAGTGATGTCCCTAGTGCTTTCTCCGCGTGGAATATCGTCGCTCCTAGGAATCCTTGAGTTAACGTCATGTCGGATCTCATATTTTGCCGTGGACGACACCTCAGCGACCCGAGCACGGGCGCGTCGGGTATTAATTATCATGATGCGCCGAGTGAAGTTTGCCCCGCACACACTCCAAGTAGGACCCAGCAGAATTACTCGACGGCCACTTCCAATTTCGAGATTATACGACGTATCCGCGGGTCGCATGCGCACGGTTCTTCATCGTCATCGTCATCGAAAGTCGCGACGAAAAATCCACTCACGCCCGAGTGCCTCGTTAGACAAGCGCACGGAAGTTCCTCTTTTCGCGACAATCGTGTCCGTGTAAGTTTCGTCCTGTTGTCTGCTGGTGCGCTCTCTTGAACTTCGTGAAGACGGAGGGAAATATTAACGCTCGCAAGGATAATACGCTTGCGTCGCAATTACACGCGCGAAGGAATTTTGTATCGAGTTAGACTTCGCGTTTCGCGCGTGTCTGCTTCTCTTTTTGCCTCTCGCCCTCTCTCTCCCTCTCTCTTTTTCGCTCTTTCTTGCTGTGTGAGAGGTTATGAGGCTTTAATCGATTTCTCAAGAAGGGAGAAAACGCGATTTAGCGTGGCGGCTTGACGTGCGTGCGAATCAGTGCGCGAACACGCTGGGCGCAAAGAAGAGACTTGCGCAATGACTGAGCATACAATTAATCATTAATAAGCGCCATGTCCGTTTCTTAAACACGCAATCGTTACTGACAAAAAACGTCCTTGTTAAAACATTCCTTGTTAAAACAAAGTCACGTTATCGTAACAAAAACGAGATAGGTCGCGATTTTCGGAGACTTCTGAGACATTATCCGACATCGACGGCACACGGAGAAAACACGTCTGAAGAGAAAAATATTTTTTCAGTGTAGAAACATGTATATCTGTATAAGTGACATGTAAAGAAGTAAGTAAAAAGTACATAATGCGTTTTTATAAGTAACTGCCGAGTAAACATCTTTTCTTTCCTTAGATACTTCTTCTCTCAGTGCGAAAAGCAGGAATTTCAGGTGAATTTCAGATGTGAGCGAGGAAGCGGGGGCATCGACGTGAATAAAGAGGCGAGATGGCGACGGGAAAAATCAATCTAACTTCCCGCGTGCACCACTTTTCCGCACGCG